CACACACACACACACACACACACACACACACACACACACACACACACGCACATACACGCACATACATACATACACACACACTCACGCACGCGCGCATTAGCAATCGCTATTACAACACATACACTTACAATAAACGGCAATAACTAAACATTTAGACTGACATCTTAAAGAGATGGAGACAGATTGTTGAGAGATGGCGAGAAGGAGACAGAATTATGAAAGTCCGCGTTTAGCTACAGATATTGATCGATTGAGATTTTGTGCGTTGTACAAATTTTTATACCATTACAAATGCATCCTTGCCGCAAAATAGATACGGAAATTGATCGATCATCGTTTGCACGATATCCTCCAGATATGGTCGCAATTGCTCGAAATGTCCCATATCGGTAAAATCGATAGGAATTAATGTTGGCCACCAGCAAATGGCTAAATTTTTGCTATCCATACTATTCAATTTGGAATTGTCGGAAACACTGCAATTCAAACATGTATATACATGTATACATGTATATTTATTTACTTAATTGTTTTTCGTAATTTTACGTTCAAAACTTACTGTACAAAATGCTGAAATATATATTTAAGTATGGCAAAATTAATCGGTGGTAATTTTTGTAACAATGTTTTTAAAGCTATTAGGCGACAGCTTCGATCCGTTTTCACTTCAACGTTCATTTTCGAAACGCCAACATTACGCGAACCTGAAATGAAATTTTATTCATTTTTTTTAATTTCACTTTTATTTAATGCTTATAATCGATATAACATAAAAGCGATATGAATGGCATTGCTTTTACTCTCTGGGTTTAATGCTGCTGCCTGTACGACCTCGAAAAACTCAACATATGGATAAGAGTTTGGAAAAATCTGGTCGATTAGTAAATTTGATACTATTTCGGTTCGTTAAGGGTTAAAGGGGAATCTTTCAAACGGAAACGTGAAAGTCCGAAAACTCCATTCAATTTGGATGTGAGACACACCTTACTGACAATATATCAAACTGAATAGTGGGTAAAGTAGTTGCTTAAGCGGCTGCACAATGAACAAACAAACACATATCAGTTGCCAGGAGTCCGTGGCTCCCAAGCAGGCCATCCGTACGCATTGAGAAATGCGTAAATGCGACATAACGAGCAGGCATCCACAAACCTTTGATGCTTTGGAAAAATGCCTATTGCATAACGTGGCCATTCTTTGCCATATATATCATTAGCATTATCCATAATTCTTGGATCCCCATCCAATATATAAACTCCGTTTCTCTAACCCCGTCACTATACATAGATCTGTTGTAAATCTTGGCTCTTGATATAGACGATTGCCTATTGCAAACAGACAACGTTCCGAGACTCTAGACGTCTTCGCCATAGAAAATTGATGCCATGAAATAGTGGTTAATCTTGGAACTCTTACGAGTCAACGTAGAAGTGAGCTTCACCGTCGCACTTCGACCTTAACATTATCACGACTGTGTTCTGCAATCGAGGATGATATCGGGCACATTGGCATGTTGGGGAGACACGCGAGCGAAATAATTATAATCATGGTAAGCTATTATTAATCAAATCATAATCAAAGATTTGAGAACAAATGCCTTATTATTATTAATATCGACATTTTGCAAAGTATATGTGAACGTTTACAAAGCCAGATCCAAAATGCATATCGTAGATAAAAATTGAATAAAGAATCTTACCTATGGACGGTATATCATTTTATTTTTTCGTATTAATATAATAAACGCTTACCTGCAATCTCTTCCAATTCTTTGATGATATCCTTACTGAACAACGATGGCAAACGTTTCGAAAAGAAATCTTTTAAAGCGGTCGCCACCGCATTAACCGGTATATCCAGTAATTCTATGACGGTATTAGCATCTAAATGTCAATGAAATCGTTAAGTACAAGTTTTTTTTTTTTTTTAATTTAATATGATCTGCTTTGGCTAACCTTCTTCGAATTTTTGAAAAAGTAAATCAACGTGAGCCCGACTGCCGGGTACCCGATAGATGCCCTCTGAGTCTAAGCCCTCTTTTTCAATGTATTCAATGCATTTAATTAAAAATATGGGAATCTCTTCGCCATCCGTTATCATTAGTTTGCCAAATTGTGTTTCCGCTGTCTCGGGAAAACCTTTTGAATTTTGCTTCACTTTACGTTTAAGTTTCTTTTCTTGTTCTTTTTCCTTCTCTTGCAGCTTCCGCAAACGTGCCGATTCCTCTTTGAGGCGACGCTTTTCGGTCTTTTCGAATTCTTTTAAGCATTTTGCATTCATATTGAATTCGCTTAAATTTTCGGTTGCAAACAGTCCGGGGGCGTCCGGTACCATTGAATACTAAAATAAAATCAAAATATTAACTAGATATATATATATATATCTTTTGGAAAATAATTCACTAACTAACTAACCTCAGGTGATTTGTCATTTTTCATAATATCATTAACATTAGGTGGATCACCGATTTTTTCTGTAAATTAAAAATTTTAAATTTTAATTTTTTAGCTATCGCTCCTAAGGATAAAATAAATATGAGATATGAGATACTTTTTTCAATATTTGTCATTCTCTGATAGTGCAGGGGTATTTCTGGCGGACTGACATAAGATCCAAACATCGGTACACGTGGCGTTTGTACCGGTATGGCTACTTTCTTCTTCTTAGTCTTCTTATTTCCCGCTTTATTATTCATTTTATAATAGGCATTCTGTTGACGTGCTTTGCGTTCAGTTGAACTGGCGCAACTATCAGATTCGGTACAGTCTGTCGAAAGCAAAAAAAAAAAAAAAAAAAAAAATATATATATATATATCGTAATTAAATCTTGCAATTATCTCACTCGTACAATTAAATATACCTTCATTTTCGTATATCTGTTCGTATTCAGCTAACTCTTCAGAATCGTCATCTTCCCCATCCAAGTGTGTATGATCGAATTGCGTATAACGCTTAGAGTCTTTATCGGTTGTTTCGCACGCAGGCAAATACGTTTCACCGAAATTCATTTTAGCCACCGCATCACTAACTAATTGAAAATTCTTCATATTCAATTTTCCGGGTTGCTGTAATAACAAACAATGAAACAAACAAATTAACAATCGAAAGAAATCATTTTTATTTAATTTCCCTTCTCTTTCCTCCCATTCTTCTTATCGTTATCATCATATATGAATGGCTTTAGTTTAGTATTTTTCATTCAAAAACATACCTTTAGGGTCTGACTGGGACCTTTTGGACGAATTTTATTCAAATTAGAATCTATATGTCTACGGCCAGTTGTGTACGCGTGTGTTGAGCCACCAAAATTATTCCATATTGAATTTTTATTTACATTACGTCGTCCGTCATTTTTATCTTCCAACCATTCTACAATAACATTAAAAATTGTTGCGGAGAAAAAAGAGAAAAATGTAAAATAAATTATTAATTAATTCCTGAATTCATAAAATTCACGAGGGATTGTGGTTGCTCTCTAAGGGTTGGCAAGCAAAATGAAAAGATTTAACAGAAAAGAAAACTACCCTACATCCAGAACGAAATCATAACGAACGAAATAAAGGTTTTTTTTTTTTTTTTTTTTTTTTTTACTTTTTGATGGAATTAGAAAGTCTCTACATTTTTGCTAAGGGCTACAAACCAAAAAAAAAAAAAAAAAAAAAAACAAAACAAACAAACAAACAAAAAAAAAGAATAATTATAACAATAACAGTAACAAAATAAAGAAACAAAAATTGTAATTGTTTGCACACTATGTTGGATTTGAACGCATGCAAATGCTTTCGGAGAGGGAAACCACTGTAAATATTTTAGGAATAATTTTTTTTATTTATTGGATAATTAATAGTTGCTTTCCGTTTTCTAGATTATGTGAAAAAGATTTCATAACGCGATCGCAATTTTTTACTTGAGATTTTAACCTTTTCTCCAAGTTTTCCCAAAAGTGTACCTGTGTATGATTGTGCGTGTGTGCCTGCGTGTATGTGCGTGGGTGTGTGTCGAGTCGGTAAAGACCTAATGCAAAGTTGCAGCCTAATCTCTTGCCCGTTAATTTCGAGTTTGTTCTAATTCGCTGACAAGTGTCTTTAGAAAGCACTTATGTCCACTAAAAAGGCCCTTCTAAACAAGAACACGTTAACATAGCTTCATCGAGATAACCTTTGAAAAGATGATGAATGCGAGGTCGTTTCAAAGTACCGAGTCAGCGCCACTCCGTGTAATATGGATTTTAATATTACCTAAGGATTCTATTCTATATAGAATTATATATCTTTTCCTGTCATCGCTGGTGTCCTTCCGCAGCACATAATTTGCACAATATATACGAATGAGATGCAAAAAAAATGTGGCTCTCTCTGTAGCGTGAAGACCCCGATTAAAGACAATAGGGCATAGACTATTTGAAAACTGAACAGTGTGGAAATGTTATTGTTCTGGCATTGCCGTTTAATGGATTAAACAAAAAAAAAAAAAAAACAACACACATACGCAACACATTTTTAAGATATAATTTTTGTAAACTGAATGTAAGACATAACTCCGAAAAATGTCATTCTTTTCTATCGAACTTTCTCGCGTTATCTTTAAAGTTATTATTATCATCTATCAAGGCTATCGAGACATATTTTCGATAAGTCAATAAGTTCATCGAAATGTTTTTATTTAATCACAAAATGGTTTTATTCACTCAAATACTCGTCAATCGTACACACACACACACACACACACACAGTTACATGTAGATTAAAAGTTTTTTTTCTCTAAGATTCAATATTTTCAACAGCTACGTTCCGGACCGCCGAGTGCCTTAATTTACAAATGCATTGCGAGAATACCTATCTGAGGACTTTACCAGTTTTGACTACATTTGAGTTTTTTGATCTCTTTTTTTTTTTTTTGTAATACTTAAAAAATATGCTTAATAAGTTTTCATTCCATAAAGAATTGTTGAAAAAACGCTCGCACGCACACACACACCTTACAAGTTTCAAGTTTGTGAAAATTTGATCATAGTTCAAAAACAAAATTGATTAATGTGTTCAATCGTTCAATTTTGCCCGAAAGGGCTCATAACTTTCTGTTCATCTCATAACATTCATTCATTCATTCATTCCCTGAAAAAACATAAAATATTCCTTTAAAAAAAAAAATAGAAAAGAAAATCAAAAATGTTAAGATTTGATAATTAATTGGATGACTTTAAAGGGAGCAGAACTAAGTATTCTCCAAGTTAACATGTGCACGCTACGGTGACTAACTACTTTAACAGTGATCTACGTTAGGCTTGGCTTGATGAGAAGCTATTCACCACTTGTTACCAAAATTATGGTCGTATGCCTCTTGCTATCTGCATGACGATAATGCACTCTCTCCCACACCGCGCTGCGTTAATGCTTTCAACATATGCATTCCATTCGGAATGCAATGCATATCGTTTCTCAAAGGATCTAATCGCCTAATCCGTAGCTTCGTATAACTTCAAGCTATTGCCGTAACTGCGAGGATGTCCTTTTAACGAACGAAGGATCGAAGGAGCAGCCGCGACGAACTGACACTTACACTATTTTAAATGAAAGCATAGCAGCCGGTCATCAATATGCCGATAGTCAGCCATCTTGTATATGAGGACAAATTTGTATGAGTTATGAGAACATGATTAATACGGGTCGAAAAATAGGCGAGGTGAATAGGCTGCAATAGGTTAACATGGCGTGAATATTTTACATGACAACGCTCATGTGTCCGTCCCATTGAGTCGAAGTTAGAATCATAAGATTGGATGTATGCTATGCCTGTTGTGTATGCTGTCTTCATCAGACAACGAGAGACATTACTTCAATTATCGCGCTTGACTTGTCTTATAGTCTCTCCGAAAGGCCCTGGTTCATTGGCATTGCTTGTTGCTGGCCCAACTAACATGCCTCTTGGAAAGGTTTTTTCTTATTGTCATTTTAAAACAAAGAGGACGAGGACGAGGACGAGAACGAGGACTAAGACGAAGACGAGACTTGGCTTTATGATTCCGCTTGTAACGCTTGTAAGTGGAAAATATTAGATAAGTAAGTTAGTCTATTCTAACTCAAAATAGAGATGGACGAATTCATCGGTTCACCAGTCGGTCATCTATCGGTCGGTCGCCTATTAGAATTGATCGATAAGGAAACGAAGAAGAAAGAAAGTTTTACCATTGTTTCATGACTTGCACTTGCGCAAATATTTTAACACATTTTGTAAATTATTTTCATTCAATATTAACGAAAAGAAAAAAGCGAACTAAAGAAAAAAAAAAAAAAAAAAAAAAAAAAGAGAGAGAGAGAAAACAGAAACAGAGTCTATGTGCTTAAAATTGTTAGTAAAAAATAATTGTAATGAAAACAAATGAAAAATAATTGGCTACAAAAGATCATGACACAAACACTGTACATATCTAAGCATGGCTAAGGAAAGTTAAGAAATAACAAAAAAAATAAAATAAAATATATATATATATATATATATGTATATATTTTTAATTCTAATTTCTTAAAGAAAGAAAAAAAATTTATAAAAAATTCTTTAAACTACATCATGAGTACCCAACAAATCCTTTGCCCCCCTTACCCCCTTTTTTTAAAAAAATTTAAATTTTTTTTTTTTTTTTTTTTTTTTTTTTTTTTTAAATGATTTTCAAAGTAATGACAGAAAAAGAAACAACAACACAAATACAAATAATGAAAATTAATGAGAAGAAATTAAATGCATTTTTGAAAAAAGTTCATGTGAGAAAAAACAAACGAGAGCAATTACATGTTATTTCTTCCAAACTCGATTCGGAAGCTGAGACGAATTGGCTCTTGTATGAGCATGTAATGAGCTGATGATCTGGTGGGGCTGGCTCTGGAGGAGTTGTTGGAGGAGGAAATATCTGGAATCCTTTGATACACATACATAAATATATATGACAGCAATTAAACCACAAACATGTTATTTATGAAATTATGAAATTATGAAACTATGTTTTGTACATATGTATATGTCAGATGCTAAATATAAGTGATGGTTTCGTCTTCGCGAGGATGTGTGAATGCTTAATATTATTAATAAAATATTTTAAATAAACGTTACAAATCAAAAAAACAATCAATAAAACAAATCATTTTTTTTTTTTTAAATTTAAATAAAATAAAGAGGATTAAAAACCGAACACTCTTGTGACAGATAATACGAACACTGAACGCACTCTATAAATGATCTGCGCATTAACCCAACATTCTGGATGAAGGGTATAAAAAAAATTTCAACAGAAATATAAATATAAATTATTACACATACATATACAATATACGCACATTAAATTTTTATAACACTAGCAGTGGGTAGAGACAACAATTTGCATGATATGGTAAAAAACAGATCATATTTAAACAGGAATCTCTAAAAATACATTAACATATATACTCTTTTCCTATACCACACAGCTCACACTCACTTTCTTTGCCTTCCTCTACTAAATAGTATAGAAAATGAACAAAAAAAAAAAAAAAAAAAAAAAATAAACAAAAAAAAAAAAAAAATTTGTTTTTTTTC